ATAATCAAGAAAGCACTTGACAATTAACAGGAATAGTTGCACACATGCATTTATAGTAAGAACACTGAACATATGCAGAAAACCAAGACACCAGCAGAAAACCAACCAGTGCCACCTCCTAATTCTTTTCATCAGCATTGGCCTAACCAGATCTGCAACGCTGCAATGTTTCTTGTATACCTCATGTTCAAGCAAGGACCAAAATAGTGAAGGCATGAAAAGGCGAGAAAGGAGACCTGCGGATCGGATCTGTCGCCACTACCACGGCACACGATGAACACGGACGCCAATGCCGTCACGCTCCACCGGAAAGACCCACCGCCTAGCCTCCAAAAGGATGCCTGAGCCATTACAGCATAGTGGGGATCCTCTGTTGCCGCCACTGCAAGTCCAACGGACACAGATTTATTTCCACTTGCAGGGGATATGGATATATCCAATATATATGTCAACCTGTCCACACAGAGAATATATACTACTCTAAAGACATGTCAACACAACCAGGCGTCTAGCGCAATGGTGAAGACGGTCTATTCCTTGATCTGGGTCCTGGGTTCGACTCCTAGGTCTCATGGTTTTTTTTAGTTTGAATTTATTAAACCCCGGCGGCAACAAGTGACACACAAGCCGTCGGGTCCCACAGGTCGGATGGAGATAGAGAAAGGTCCACTGGCCATCGGGTCCCAAATGTCAGATGGTCCCACAGGTACACGTGACACGTAAGCCGTCGGGTCTCATAGGTCGGATGGAGATGGAGAACGGTTCCACAGGTACACGTGATACGTAAGCCATCGGGTCCCACAGGTCGGATGCTGAAGGGTCCCGTAGGTACTCATCGAATGGAGAAAGGACCGAGCGGAGATTTCTATGATGAATTGCAAGCATCACGAATGAGTAACTGCAGGTCCCACAGGTACACGTCGGATGAAGAAGGGTCCCACAGGTACACGTCGCATGGAGAAAGAATCGAGCGGAGACTATTATGACGAATTGCAAGCGTCACGGATGAGTAACTGCAGGTCCCACAGGTACACGTCGGATGGAGAAAGCACAGTGTGGATATCTATGACAAAGCCGTTCGTTATAGATCAAATATTGTCCGTCACAAATGTGTAATTAGTTCAATGACGAAGCCCTGTTCCTCATAGGTTTAAATGAGATCGTCACAGATGATTCGCGCGAGTGATCTGTGATGAAACCCTGCGCTCTTCTATGATGTTTTTTGTGACTAGCCTGATTTCATCATAGAAAGGGAGGGCTGCAGGATCGTCACCACTGATCTATGATGAAACGGAAATATTCGTCATAAAAAATGATCTTCTATGACAATTTTGGATTCGTCGTTAGCATTTTCGTCATAGAAGTGGATATTTCTAGTAGTGAAACGATCTCCTGCAAGACAATCATTCAACTCGCCACCGGTTAGCTTTTTAACAAATTTTTCTCAAAGGCATCAACTTATCCGCCACTCACCACCAAAGGTATTGCAACATTAGAGCTCAGAAGTGGCACTAGATAACTGTAATGCAAAGCACGTTTGCGGATACAACAGAGACAGAAACACCAACTCCCTTATAAATAAATAAAAGAACTTTGTGTAGCAAGTGCTACTATGTTCTGTGGTCATGGCATAAAAATATATAATGTACCTTGGGCACTGAGTTCATGTAATGGTGACTAAAGCTTTTGTTCTGGTGTGACAGCTAGCAAACCTAAGTGATAATGTGTGTCTTTTTGCACGACTTGTATAATTCTTATGGCTGGTTGATCCTGTTGAGTTCTTATTACTTAAGCAACTGTGGGGCTCTATTTGGCGAAGCTCTAGTCACTCTAGCTCCTCCGAGTACTATAGCAAAAAAAAACTTTTGAAGTAAACTAGGTGTCAATAAAACCACTATTTTTTGCTTTACTATGGATTTTAGCTTCTACGTATAGTGTAACAAAAAACCAGATAAACCCGTGCCAAATAGGCGCTGTGATCTGGCTACCAACCAGAATTCTTAGCGGTAAAGGTCAGTACATAACGACAAATGATGTTGCTTTCGACAAGGAAATCCCTTCTGAACGCGCATGCCAATAGAATTCGAGGGTCCCTTTGAGTGGCAGAACTTTCACAGGATTTAATTCGATTTATGTAAGATTAGAGATAAAATCATGTGTTTCAAACTGTGTCAAAAGCACGATGGACTGAGAGAACTTGGAGTTTTGGACAAAAAGAAATATATAGAGGTATTGGTGAGCAAAATTACGTGGCACAATACCTCGTACAACTCGCTAAACGACCTAAGCATGGTGTTTGGAGATTGCAAGCCTATATGGGTCTAACTTGTTGCCTATGTTACCGTGTATTCAGGCTTGTGTAGTGCAACTTATCTATATTTAGTCGGTATTGCTGTGCTAAGGACGTTCGTCCGTCCAGATGCTGTCGTTGATGGGCCAATGACACCAGACAAACGGCCCAAATCTCCATTTGTGTATGTGCTCGCCCCCAACTAGCCCGTCGCCTGTTTCTCTCCATTCACCGCACCACTGTCGCGTCCGCACCGCCACACGTGTGCTCCAGCGCGACAACCCCACCGTGAAGCTTTCCACCGTGCGTGCTCCAGCGCAACCACACCGCTGCGCCACCGCGCCCGATCAACCGCCGTCCTCTCTCTCCACCACGCTCCAGCGCCGCCGCCCACCATCCTTCCTCTCCACCGGGCCATCTTCCCGTCGCGGCGTTCTCCACGGCGCCAGCCTCTTCTCTACTGGAGTGGCCTTCTCAACCGGAGCTACGCGGCATTGAGCCTCCAACCGTCCAAGTAGCAAGTAGATGTTGCGCCGAAAACACAAGTGTTTCGTATGGATGTTGCATATGTTGGAATGGTTGTACACGTATGTTGCAAACTTCTATTCTCAATATTTTATCTATTTTTCAGACGTATGTTGCAAGTGTGTTTATCTGCATGTTGCATATGTTTCACACATATGTTGCAAGTGTTTTATCTGAATGCTGCATATGTTTGCAGTGGCCTTCATGTGTTTTCATGTGTTTTTGCAATTATTTTAGACTCATTTCAAGTGTTTCATTGGTCTTCAGACATATATTGCAAGTGTTGCATCTGAATGTTTCAAAAGTAGATCGGGTATTGCATATGTTACAATGTGACTCGCCTGCTGTAGCTGCTGGAGGGGGCGCGAGGGGTCGGGCAGGGCGCAGACGCCGCGTGGGGTCAGGCGGGGGCGTAGACACTGTGTGGGGTCGGGTGGGCGCAGATGCCGCGTCGGGTCAGTCGGGGTGCAGGCGCGGGCGTCCATCCGAACGTTCGGGCACTAGCAACGCCGATATTTAGTTGCCTGAATAAGTCTTAAGCATGTTTTCACAATGTTCAAAGTAAGCCAATGTAATATTATTTTAATATGCTAGATTTTATGTATTAACCAGTGCATATGTTTGTATAAGCTGGTGGACACTCTAAATAAAATACTTTTATATTCTCTGTTTTTTACAAGAAACATGAGACCTCTAATAAAATATGTAAGGTGATTATATGCAATAAAATATAGATAAACAAACATAATTTTATCAAATATAACTTGCCTATGCAGGACAACTAAACACGAAGACACTGCATATGTTTATGTTGGCTTATGTTGTGTTGTGTTAGGCCTAATGCAAACTAATCAGATCCTATGTGTTGAGTGTTGAGCAAGGTTTTAAATCACGAGCCATGACATTTAGTGGTAGCCTGTTCTAGAACATAAGTTATGAAAAGCTATAGCGAGATATAGAGAAAAGTATTTCATTTAGTGATTTTTTTAAAAACCATGAACATTCGTAATTAATATATACAAAAACATGTCCCCAAGGAAATTTTCAAATACTCAAATAAATATATAAAGATATGGGGAACATATTTCTAGGCCCATTACTTTGTATTCATTAAAGGGGTGTTTAAATCCAGGGACTAAAAGTTTAGGGGTGTCACATCGGATGTCACATGGGAGTATCACGTCGAGTGTTCGGATAGTAATAATAAAATAAATTATAGAAGTTCTCGGTAATCCGTGAAATGAATTTATTAGGCCTAATTAATCCATCATTAGCATATGTTTACTATAGTACCACGTTGTCAAATCATGGGCTAATTAGGCTTAAAAAATTCGTCTCACAAATTAGTCTCAATCTATACATTTAGTTTCGTAATTAGTCTATATTCAATACTCAATGCATGTGTCTAAATATTCGATGTGATAAGGACTATAGTTTAGGAGGAGGAAACAAACACAGCTTAAAACAATCAACATACTCATGGCTATAATCAGTATTTTCATATTTCTTAAATGCTCAAAATCAAATAATTCAAAAATTATTCAATAGTTCATTACATCATTTATTAATTAAAAATCACAACAAAAATGGATAGGTTATAATCATCAAGAGCAAAGGAATGAATATTTGCCTTGGTCAATGGTGTTACATATTTCATCGCTAATAGTGGAGCTACAGTGTTACCAGAGGCAGTAGAAAACCAATTGACAATATCTATAGCAAGCTATTTAGAACATTCTGCTGAGTATCGCAATCGTATTTCCGAGTGATGAATGAAGAACGTTCTTTTCTTGGTGAAAAAGAAGCCCATGAATCCAGTAGAGCGCTAAATGGTGAGCTGCAAACTCACCTAGAGAGAAATTTTAGATCTAACACAATCATCAATATAGCAGCAGGAGAATAAATTCAGACAACCAATGACTTTGAAGAAGAGGCCTCGCTTTCACTGCTAACCTCCAGCAACAGCTCCCCCTTCCCTACCAAAATTACCTACACACATCACCTGAACCTCGAAAGGGAGAACTTCAGCACACATGTCCACTGTTCATGTAATGGTGACGATTCATGCCGGCTACACTAGAATTCTGGATTAACACACCCTCCTAGAATGAAGCATTGAGAGACAGAAGACAGTGGAATTTACACGCTTCGCAGCTAATAATTTCGGGTAACTAACTGGTGGTGCCTAGTCCACGTAATCGAGTACATCTCTGAAGGTCACACGCACATGGCTGGCATTGACGTCCTCCCGCTGCGATGAGATGCGGGTTACATTCCTGAGCAATCTGATTACTTCACTGGTGTCGTCCACGTAATACTTCGCCTTGCTGGGCTTTTGACCAACTGAACAGGCAAACACCTCCGGTACTGTGGGTGATAAGACATCATTGGAGGTCATACCGTTGATGCATTCAAACATGTCCTCATCAGATCTGTCATTGCCGACGCACATCAGGAAATCCGGTGCCTTCCCGTTGTTGACCAGTGTGTGAATCAGCTTGTTGACAGCACGACCCTTGCTAACTCCCTGCATGAGTAAAGTTGTTTAGTACGAGATGTAACCAATAGGGAAGTGAAATGATACTGTTTATGACTTCAAAGGGAATATACCTGCGGTTTCACTTCTACAATATAATGACCGCACTTTACAACAACAGGCTCATTTGATAGCACCCTCTCAAGATGATCCTGTAGCTCCTTTGCTTGGAAGGAACCGAAATCATGGTCTGCGTCCAAATAGTGCCATACTAGAGCGTTTTCCTTTGACTCGATTGAAGATCCATCTGTTGTCTCTGTGTATACCTGCATGATAGGTTCAGCAATGTGCTTCCATTCTTGCTGCGGACTTGAATAGCTTGACTCCCATGCAGCTTCCTTGCTCCATCTGAAAACACATACATAGTTCATCACATCCTGAGAAAAAAGATACAATGGTGTCTGTCCGTGTAAACAACAATGAGATAGCTTTTGACTGGCATACCTGATAAAATAGCCATGTTCTGCAGCTACACCAAGCTTCTCACATGGAGAAAACCACTCGTCAAGGGAATCACGTCCTCGTCCACTTACTATAAATACAACGTTCTTTGGGTCATTACATAAGGTGTTAAGAATGGAAATGAGTTCTTCACTTGGAGCTTTGTTGATTGATGACTGGGCCACAAGTGTGCCGTCGTAATCAAGAAATATTGCTCTTCTAGAAGCCTTGTTATAAGAAGAAACAAAGTGCTCCAAAGACAGCTTTCTGAAGCCAGGAGAAAGAGCAATAACTCTAAAATTCAGACCGAACCCAATAGCCCAACACCTTCGGCTGTAATGATCTTTGCATGCTCTTTCCAGATCTTGAGCAAAGCTGCGTGCCCAGTAAGCAACATCATGAGTACTGACATAGCGATAATGCTTTTCATGCCGCAGCCGTTTCTCAGATTCAGTCAAATCAGTTGCGCGGCACAAGGCATCCGCCACATCATCGACACTCCAGGGATTTACCCTGAAAGCACCACTAAGAGATGGGGAGCAACCCACAAACTCCGAAACAATAAGTGTGCTTGTGTGATGGGTGTCTTTGTCAAGACACCTGAGTTTATCAATCTCCTCATTTCCCTGTCGGCAAACAGTATACTCATATGGTACTAAGTTCATGCCATCCCTCACAGCATTTACGATACAACAATCAGCCGCAGCATAGAATGCAATCTTTTCATAAAATGGTATGCGGTGATCAATTAGGACGACAGGCTTGTAACTTGAAGAACCATACTTTGTATTAATCCTTTCAGCCACAGATACAGCTTCTGTAATAGCTTCTTGCACATCCTTCCCTGTGCTTCTTGCTGGATTGATGATTTGTACAAGGACAACCTTCTCTCTAAGCTTTGGGTTTCTGTCCAGAAGAAGCTCCAGTCCAAGCAATTTCAGACTTATTCCTTTGAAGATGTCCATGTCATCTACACCTAACATGAGTATCTTGCCCTTATAACTTTGTTCAATTTCTTGAACCTTACTAATTGTAGCAGGCAACTTTAAGACAGATTCAAGCCGACCAACATGGACACCTACAGAAAGGATCTTCAGACTCACTGTTCGGCCAAAATACTCTATTCCAATGTAACCACGTTTTGACTCATAATGCAGGCCTAGCAATCTGCTACAGCAAGATAGGAAGTGGCGAGCATAGTCAAATGTTTGGAAACCAATGAGATCAGCATTAAGCAGTGACTTCAGGATTTCATCCCTTACAGGCAGAGTCCTGTAGATTTCTGAGGAGGGAAAAGGGCTGTGAAGGAAGAAACCAATCTTTATTCGGTGTAACCTCTTCCTCAAGAATGTAGGGAGCAGCATGAGATGATAATCATGAACCCAGACACAATCATCATCTGTATTGATTGTTTCCATAACTTTATCTGCAAAAAGTTTGTTGGCTCGGACATAGGCTTGAAATAGGTTGCGATCAAATAGCTCACCCTTGTCTAGGCAAATTGGAAGCATATAATGAAAAAGTGGCCATAATTGTTGTTTACAGAAGCCATGATAGAACTGCTGCTGCAGGTCAGATGGGAGAAAAGTCGGTATGCATCGATATTCTCTAAGAAGCTTCTGTGCAACTTGGTCCTGCTCACTGGGATCTACCTGAACTTTCAAACTGCCCACATACACAGCGTCAGTCTCATTTGAAAAACCATCTTTAAGTTGCATGAGTAGTGCATCATGATCCAATGAGAAGGACAGCTTCCCAGTTTCATCTCTTGTACAGTTCAGAGGAAGGAAGTTGGCAACAATTATTTTCCTCTCGGTAGAAGATGTTGAACCAACTGAATCACCATCACTTATTGTATCCCAATCAGGATCAGATATAATGCCAGGAGAAGTTACAACACGAGGAAGAGACTTAAAAGGTTGTCGAAAGTCAAATCCATCTCCAGAGGTCATGTCTAGCAGATTTGAATATGATTTTGAAACCATGGTTCCAGTATTCTTGTCTCAGGTTAACTTGTTGAGGCCTTTGTATCAAAGTAGCTAGCACTGTACAAAATGAATTCCTCTGAAAGAATAAACAGAGTACATCAGCCAACCTTGCATTAATCTTAGAACACTCGTAATATACCTACTATAAACAACCATATAAAAGGAGAAATGGATATATGTCAAGTCAATGAAGTCATTGATTAACAATCCAATTTCATGGAAGTGTCTTTGCAATAATCGTATCAAATAATTTTGTTTATGATGTATAAAACACAAAAATGTTCACAAAATTGCCCACTACAATGGCCCCGTTCGCTTCGCTGAAAAAACAAACTGAAATAATGTTCCAGCTGATTTGTCGTGAGAGAGAAACACTGTTCCGGCCGAAAAGACAAGCCGAAAAGTACGGATTATAAGACAAATTGAAATAGTTTAATTACATACATTGAGTGGACTAAGTTCATCAATTCTTGCATTAGGAATCTGAACTCTGAAGCGAGTAAAATATGGATAATATCGACAAAGAAGCTTAGGTGATGAAAGACAGACTGCACACAGAGTAGTAAAAAACAGATGCAATATTTATAACCCAGTTGATTGTATTGACAAGGAGAAGGAATAAACCACTTCATATCAACCACAGTAACACTTCAATCCAGCACAACAGTGTCAACAAGAAAAAGATGATAGGCAAGCAACTGTTAGACTACACCTTTGCAGAGACCTTATTGAGGCCTTGTTTAGATTGAGGTTAGGAATCGGTATTTGGCACTGTAGCACTTTCGTTTGTATTTGACAATTATTGTCTAATCATGGCCTAACTAGACTCAAAAGATTCGTCTCGTAATTTACAATCAAACTGTGTAATTAGTTATTTTTTTTATCTACATTTAATACTCCATGCATGTGTCTAAATATTTGATGTGATGGAGAGAGTGAAAAAACTTGCAATCTAAACAAGGCCTGAGGTATGAGAAACAAGGATGCTTTTCTACAACTACAACTAAAGTCTTGAACACAAGTCCTCAAGTCCAGCTCATCCCATCTCCAAAGATCCAAAACACAAGCATATTTACTTCGGTTGAGGCCCACAATATACATTCCAAAAGGAACTAATCAAACAACAGGATGGTCCACTCGCCCTTCCACGAAAACATAAGAATGGAAATACCAGGACCACCACTACAGTACCACTACCACACTCCATCAGCATGATGCAATCACTCCCTCCGTTCAGTCCTCCCCCATTCTTATCAACCAGACGCATATAGTACTTGGCATCCCAATCCTGACAATCCACCACTCCAGGGAAAAAAAATTGCGAGACCAATTCAGCCAGAGATGACCTACACAAGATACTATCATACTGCTGAAGACTCTATCACAAAGCAGACACGGGAACATGATCCGTGACACCATGCAAACCGTGCTGGCTGCTGAACTGCTGCTGCCAGTTGCAACATGGTGGTAAGCACAGCTTGTTAATTTCGAGCAATTTATATAAAAAAAAACAAATCTACTTGCATCCACCAGCGCCAGAGCTTACACTTGTAACAACTCCATAGCTGCTCTGCAGAAGTGTAACTGCTTGGCATGGTCAGCTAATTGGGGCCAAATCTTGGGGAAAAAGCGTAAAGATGAACTGTAACCTTGGGCCAAATATTATGATCACAATCAGTGAATCAGACACATCACACACTGTAACCTTGGAAAATAGAATGTTCTAACCAGTGGGGAAAAAGCTGATGGCTATAGGTATACAGTAAATGGCTATAGTAATCACCTTTTCTGGATTTCCATCTCTAGAAAAGTAGAAATGCAGAGGAAGAATAGTACACATCTGGCATGCAAAAAATCTCAACGAAAATAGCAAGTAACGTGCCCAAAGATGAACTGAATGTCTGAATCTAAACCGTGCAGTTGATTTATTGCGTGAAACGAACAGAGTAACGGCGAAAGAACACATCCTAAAATTGATCAAACTGAAACGAAATAGCACGATGTGCGTATAGATAGAACAATGTAACAGCGAATACCAACAGCCCCCGTCCTTGGTTGGAGGAAACAAAAAGGACCAAACAGGCCCAGTGTTCTGTACGGGAATGCAGCAACTACAGATCAGAATGTTTACGGCAAAAGAGGGAATGGGAATGTAAGATTGGAAAGTTCTTAAGAAGATTGCAAAAGCAGCACCAAATTTGTTTATCAGAAGAAGAAGAAAAATCCCTTTTCACACTAGATTTCATTTGAAACGAACGAAAGCCAAAACCAAATCAACTTCCACCTACACAAGACGAGACAGGGAAGCAGATTGCGGCCACGTGCGACGAACGAAACAAAAAAAAAAGAATTCGTCAAAATCCCTAAACCGAAACCGCTGCTCCATACAAAACTATGGATGGAGGTCAAAACTTCCCAAGATCAAACTTTCCGCGGCTCTACGCCGCCACAACCCACCGGAAACCCAAAAGAAACAGCGACGCGAATGAAAGCACGGAGCAAACCGGTGCTCACCCAGATCAAACGTGACGCGCTCGCTGTTCGCGGCCCTTTCCGTTCTTCCTCCTCTCCTGCGCCCCCGCTTCGGCACCGAGTTCTTGGTCCACCGGCTTGTTCTCTGCTCCAGTTTCTCGCTCGCTCGCTCGCTCGCTCGCTTCTCTCGCTCTCCTATGAGAACACTAGACCGGAGTCGGGAGAGAGGGATAGAGACGGGGACAGGGTCGAGGTCGCAAGAAATGTCGAGCCGGGAAGGGGAGAAATTGCTCTGCGCCTCGTTTTTTAGTCAGAGGTTTTTGAAGTTGAAGGTGACTCGTGCCCTCAGGGGTTTTCCGGATTTACCCTTTGTGCCATCGTCAAGGATAAGATTGCCTTTTGGCTCTTTATTTTATTCCCAATATGTACGATGGTCCAAGAGCAGGATTGACCATTTACTTTTGGCTGTTTTTATTTTTATTTATGAAGTCAAAATATAGGCAAGTTTAAGAAATTTAGCAGGCAATTGGCTTAATGCCAAAATTTTAGCAAATACCTTCCAAAAAGTTGCAAGACAAGATCTTAGTTCTCTTACCAAAATATTGGTTATCCTAATATTGATGAGACCATCAGCATGTTCGCTTGTTGGTTTCAGTTAGGACTTATCAGTCATGATACAGTGTTTTTCTCTCACAACGAACCAGCACCAGCCGAACTTATCAGTTTAGAAACTAACCAGCGAACTGGCTGCATATTTTAGCCAACCTTAAAATTGGTATGGCAAAAATGGGCTTTTAACTAAGCAGGCTCTTCTTACTTTTGGATGTTTTTATTTTATATAATAAAGTTTTTGGGACTCTTCTTTCTTTATTTTAGCAAATCAGGTGACGGCATGGGTCAGACTAAGAATATTCATCGATAACTGATTATTTTGTGCCTATCTATCTATTTGCGCGCAGAGTTGTTGTCGTCTCATGAAACGGTTAATGTTTTAGGATCCTCGCCATAGCATAATTTCAGTTCGTATCCATAATTTCAGTTCGGTTTCTAAGGATCGTATTTCTTTAAAATTTTGAAGGCTTCGGATTTCCCTTTTAAGAAAAATACTGTGACAACTTTACTAGTCTTGTTAGTTTTTTCCCCCTTTTGGCGAGGTACTCGTCTTGTGAGGATCGTGGAGGTAACCAAGAAACACGGTTGGTGGTTTGTTCATACTTGCAGATACAAAAACATTTTAAATTGATCAGAGATATTATAGATTTAGATATCTATTTGCAAATAGAGTTATTAACTTATTCCTCCGCAGATTTAAGTCATGGGTCATGACAATTGAGGAAATTTCACCGCGTTCGGCTGGTACACTTCCAGCTTGTTACAGCTTGTTTCAGCTTATTCTCTCTCACGGAACACTATTGAATCATCCAAAACCATCCGAAATTCACTGTGCACTGTACCAGCCGAACACAGTGTTTATTTACAATCTAGACATGGGATTTCTTTGTGTCTAGGTTGATCGATCTAAGAACATCCATGAAAAGGTGCATTCGTAATACTATATTTATTGGATTTTACATGTATTGTTGAAATTAATGGTTCAAGGGTCAGTTTGGTAGAGCTCCCCTTCTTGATTTTTTGAGCTTCACTTCTTGCTTCTCTGACGAAGTAATTTTAGTGGTGGAGCGTGATTATATTGACGATTGAACGGGGAGCAGTGGGAACTAGTGGAGAGCGGGTTTTTTACTCCCAAATTGTAGTGTAAATGGAGAAGTGATTTCCATCAACTTCCGAAGAAGTTAGGAGTGAAGCTCAGCCAAACGGTCCTAAGTTATCTTTTAACAAAAAATGTAACAATAGCAGGGCTATTTAGCAGTCTATGATATTAAACGGTGTTATCTTCTAAAAGCTATAAAAACAACTATAATGAGTTAGCAGGGGCTATTTAAATAACGTTTTTTATAGAAAACATGACATTCATAACTATGTACGAAAACATTTAGCTAAGGAAAAATTTATGAACACTGATATATTACATGCTTTAGGAGAACATGCTCCATGTCAATTACTTAACATTCTAAATGATTCAATACATTACGACTACAATGAACATTCATATTCACTCAACACTCAATATTCAATGATGTAATAGTTTATTAAGTAATGAACGTGATGAATATGCATAAATTATACTCCTCTGTCTAGGACTAAAGTAAGTAATGAATATTTGACTTGATCACGATTAGTGGTGCTAAAATATTTTGTGGCTAAGCCAAATAACTTATTGTAACAATAGACCCTTGAAAAACTACAGTGGTGCTATTTACATCAATGGTCGGGACCCACTACAGTGGTGCTATATCATGCTATTTACAACAATGGCTGGGACCCACCTAACAGTAGTTGTTAGTTGGAGTCTCTATTCTTCATATTTGGATGGCTTAGGACTATTCTTTGACTATTAATTGTTAGTACCATGTTATCCAAAAGATAAAGTAAATATTTGGAAAAACCTTTTTCGAATCCTATTA